CCTTGTTGGAACTCAATAGTGGATCTAATGATGGATAATAGTTAGATTCAGCTAACATCCAAATGTAACTGTTTTGTTCCAATAGATTCATTTCCTGGGATCTCATAACCGAACTGGAACTTTTGGTTAGCAGTTCCATTAGATTGGATCTTTTGTGTTTCAGATGAAATGAGTTTGTCACAAGCTGGACGAAACATAAAGATATTTGTCCTTATCAAAATCATTGAAATAGCCTTCAAATTCAATAAACTTCTGACTGAAGAGCAAATGGCTTGACAAATGAAGCCTTTGTGAGGTTCGGTGGTTTACAATATGGAAACAAGAATTCTCCTAATGGTTGGAAGCCGTAGTGATCAACATAAGTTAGCATGATGTTGTGTTCTTTTCCATACGTTAAGTCATCAGGAAGCTTGATATTCTTAGTTCCTGTACGTTCTGTATTATCAAGTTAAATATCTTCAGCGAGATCCTTAATCTCTTCTTCATCAATATATACTTTGAGTGTAACTTTTCCATCATCCTTCATTGTGTAGCTTGCTTGAACTGTGGCACCACTAGTGTAATAATGTGAGTCTGGATATGTTACACTAAAATCAGGAACGTAACTGAAAATAACTGTTCTCGCGAAAATATCAGAAACACCTAGACCTGTTCTGATTGTGCTATTCTTGGTGTCTGACAACCATAACTTAAATGTTTGTTTGCCATATAACTGAGTAAATGTACCATATGGTGTGGACGCGTAGATTGTTTGACTACTTCCAATTGATGAAACTCCATAATCTGTGAATAGAAGTGGTTCCTCATCTCCGATTTGTCCATATAGATATAATTTCTTGCCATTATCAGGATCTTGACATACTACAGAGAATGACCATGGGCCATATGGTGATAATACGTCATTGTATAAGGACAAATCTGTAATTACTGGCTTATTCTTGTGCAAGAATGATAAAGTATATTTCGCGGTAGCTTCATTATCATTAGAATCAACAAGTTTTGAATAAACGTTGATTGTTCCGTAGCTTAATCCAGCTGGAACTTTAAATGAATCTTTGAACCTTCCATTTGTCAATGTTTTTTGGATCGAGAATAATTCGTTTAAGTTCAATTGTACCAACAGTTAAAATAAGTTTAGCATATCCATCACACTTCAATGTACCTGTGATTGGAACTAATCCATCATCTGAATAAAGTGCATCTTCTGGAAGGTTATCTAATGTGTAAGATGGCTTGAATGTAATTATGATAGAGTTTGATGATTCTTCTGAGTTTGCATTCCTACCACTACTTATAGTTTTAATCATGATTGATATACTCTTCATACCTAATGGTGCATCAGATGGAATATAAAGTTGAAGTGTGTTTATTTGTTGCTTTCCATTTGATGTTATATAGTCATTTGCATATTTGTATTCTGCTCCATTAATTGAGTAATAGAAATATAAGTACTTAGATACATCTAGGTCAGTAAATGTGACTTTGCAGAAATGT